TTTAGATTTCGATTTCTCGATTTCTATTTTTCGATATTTCAAATTTTCAATTTTTCGAATTTTTAGATTTTAGATTTTTCACTTTTTTGTTGTTTCGATTTCTCGATCTTTGTATTTTTTAATATGTATTGCGATTTTTAATTTTTTAGATTTTTCGACTTTCTATTTTTGTTATTATTTTTTACTTATTCAATTTTTCAAAATATTGCGACTTTTTAAATCTTACATTTTTCGATTTTTCAGTTTTTTGATTTTTCGATTTGTTGATGTTTTGATTGGTCGATTTTTAAATTTTCAATTTTTCGAATTTTTATATTTTAGGTTTTTCACTTTTTTGTTGTTTCGATTTCTCAATCTTTGCATTTATTGCCTTCTCGTTTTTTGATTTTTCGATTTTTCAGTTTTTCGAAATTAATTTGTCAGTTTTTCGATATTTTGATTTTTCAATTTTCGATTTATCAGGTTTTTGAGTTTAAGTTTTTCCATTTTGAATTTTCCCATTTTTTATCTTGTAACTATTTCGATATCTCAATGTTTTGATTTCGCGTTTTTTAAATTTTTCGATTTCCATTTCCCGATTTCTCAGTTTTTCGATTATTCGAGTTTCCAATTTTTTGATTTTCAATTTTTCAATTTTTGGCGTTTCCAAATTTTTGTACTTTTCAGTGTCTGAATTTCTCGATTTTTGTATTTTCCGATTTTTCAAAATTTTGCAAGTTTTTAAATCTTACATTTTTCAACGTTTTCATCTTTACAATTTTTTAATTCCATTCATTAAGATTTCAGTTTTTGGATTTTAAAAATGTTTCGACTTTCCGATTTTTCAACATTTCAATTTTGGGAATTTTTCAATTTTTGGATGTTCTGATTTTTCGAATTTCAGTTTTTTCATTTTGTCGATTTTATATTTTTTTTTCTCGATTTCTGGGTATTCCGATGTTTCCATTTTTCGATTGTTCGATTTCTTGATAATTGGATTTCCCAATTTTTCGTCATTTCAGTTTCGGAATTTTTCAATTTCTCGAGTTTTCAGTTTTTAGATTCTTCAGTTTTCCAATTTTTTCAATTTTGGATTTTTCGGTTTCCCGGTTTTCCGATTTTTCGAATTTTCGCTTTTCGACTTTTTGATTTTCCAATTTTTCGTTTTTCGAATTTTTTATCATTTCAGTTTTGGAATTTTACAGTTTCTCGAGTTGTCAGTTTTTCGATTCTTCAATTTTCCAATTTTCTAAATTTTGAATTTCTTGATTTTATCCATTTTTCAAATTTTTGACTTCTTGGCTTTTCGATTTTTTTAATTTTTCGATTTTCTAAATTTTGGATTTTTCAATTTTTTGATTTTTCAGCTTTTGTATTTTCCAATTTTTCGATTTTTAGGCACTTCCACTTCTCAGTTTTTCGATCTTTCGACTTCTCGATATTTCGAATTTCGATTTCGCGATTTTTCAATTTTTCGATTTCGATTTTCCAACTTTTCAATTTTTGGCGTTTCTAAATTTTTGGATTTTTCGATTTCTCAATTCCTCGATTAATCGACTTTTTGATTTTTCGTCTTTCCGATTTCTCGATTTCTCAAATTTTCAATGTTTAAGTTTTGGGATTTTTCAATATGTATTTCGATTTTTTAATTTTTAGATTTTTCACTTTTTTGTTGTTTCGATTTCACAATCTTTCGATTTTTTGCCTTCTTGTGTTTAGATTTTTCGATTTTTCAATTTTTCGAAATTAATTTTTCACTTTTTCGATGTTTCGATTCTTCATTTTTTCGGTTTATCGTTAAAATTTTCCAATTACAAATTTTCCCATATTTCGATTTTTAGCCACTTCCATTTCTCAATTTTTCGATCTCTCGACTTCTCGATCTTTTGATGTTTCGATTTCGCGATTTTTCATTTTTTCGATTTTCCAATTTTTTGTCATTTCAGTTTTGGAATTTTACATTTTCTCGATTTTTCAATTCTCGATTCTTCAATTTTCCGATTTCTAAAAATTTTAATTTTTTTTATTTCTCTGTTTTTCAATTTTTCGACTTCTCGGCTTTTGGATTTAGCAATTTTTCGATTTACCGATTCTTCGATTTTTCGATCTTTTAATTTTTCAATGTTTTAAATTTTATACTTTTCGATTTTTCGTACTCTTCAATTTTTCCGTTTTTCAGATCTTCGATATTTATATTTTTCGAATTTTCAAATTTTTGATTTTTCAGTTTTACGATTTTTTAATTCCATTTCTTAAGATTTCAGTTTTTGGATTTTAAAAATGTTTCGACTTGCCGATTTTTCAACATTTCAATTTTGGAATTTTTTCAATTTTTGGATTTTTCAATTTTTGGTTGTTCTGATTTGTCGAATTTCAGTTTTTTCATTTTGTTAATTTTGTTAATTTTTTTTCTCGATTTGTGGGTATTCCGATGTTCCCATTCTTCGGTTGTTCGATTTCTTGATAATTTGATTTCCCAATTTTTCGTCATTTCAGTTTCGGAATTTTTCAATTTCTCGAGTTTTCAGTTTTTCGATTCTTCAGTTTTCCAGTTTTTTCAATTTTGGATTTTTCGGTTTCTCGGTTTTCCGATTTTTCGAATTTTCGACTTTTTGTTTTTCCAATTTTTCGATTTTTCGTCATTTCAGTTTTGGAATTTTACAGTTTCTCGAGTTTTCAGTTTTTCGATTCTTCAATTTTCCAATTTTTTAAATTTTGAATTTCTTGATTTTTCCATTTTTCAATTTTTTGACTTCTTGCCTTTTCGATTTTTTTAATTTCTCGATTTTCTAAATTTTGGATTTTTCAATTTTTCGACTTCTCAGCTTTTGTATTTTCCAATTTTTCGATTTTTAAGCACTTCCATTTCTCAATATCTCGATATTGAGAAATGGAAGTGCTTTCGACTTCTCGATATTTTGATTTTCGATTCGCGATTTTTCAATTTTTCGATTTCGATTTTCCAATTTTTCAATTTTTGGATTTTTCGATTTCTCAATTACTCGATTAATCGACTTTTTGATTTTTCGTCTTCCGATTTCTCGATTTCTCAAATTTTCAATGTTTAAGTTTTGGGATTTTTCAATATGTATTTCGATTTTTTAATTTTTAGATTTTTCAGTTTTGTTTTTTTGATTCTTTACTTATTCGATTTTTCGAAATATTGCAACTTTTTAAATCTTACATTTTTCGATTTTTCGGTTTTTTGATTTTTCGATTTGTTGATGTTTCTTGATTGCCCAATTTTTTAAATTTGCGATTTTTCAAATTTTTAAATTTTAGACTTTTTCTTTTTTGTCGTTTCGATTTCTCAATCGTTCGATTTTTTAATCTTTTCGTTTTTAGATTTTCCAATTTTTCAGAATTAATTTTTCATTTTTTCGATATTCCGATTTTTCACCTTCCGATTTCTCGATTTCTCAAGTTTTCAATGTTTAAGTTTTGGGATTTTTCAATATGTATTTCGATTTTTTCATTTTTAGATTTTTCAGTTTTGTTTTTTTGATTCTTTACTTATTTGATTTTTCGAAATATTGCGACTTTTTAAATCTTACATTTTTCGATTTTTCGGTTTTTTGATTTTTCGATTTGTTGATGTTTCTTGATTGCCCAATTTTTTAAATTTGCGATTTTTCGAATTTTTAAATTTTAGACTTTTTCTTTTTTGTCGTTTCGATTTCTCAATCGTTCGATTTCTCAATCGTTCGATTTTTTATCTTTTCGTTTTTAGATTTTCCACTTTTTCAGAATTAATTTTTGATTTTTTCGATATTCCGATTTTTTGCTTTTCGATTTAATGGTTTTCTTTTAATTTTTCGCCTTCTCATTTTTAGATTTTTCGGTTTTTCAATTTTTCGGAATTAATTTTTCAGTTTTTCGATGTTTCGATTTTTCATTTTTTCGGTTTATCGTTTTTTTTTAAGTTCAAAATTTGCCCATTTTTCGATTTTTAGCCACTTCCATTTCTGAATGTTTCGATATTTCGACTTCTCGATCTTTTGATGGTTCGATTTCGCGATTTTTCAATTTTTAGATTTCGATTTCTCGATTTCTCAGTTTTTCGATATCTCAAATTTTCAATTTTTCGAATTTTTAGATTTTAGATTTTTCACTTTTTTGTTGTTTCGATTTCTCGATCTTTGTATTTTTTAATATGTATTGCGATTTTTAATTTTTTATATCTTTCGACTTTCTATTTTTTATTATTTTTTACTTATTCGATTTTTCAAAATATTGCGAATTTTTAAATCTTACATATTTCGATTTTTCAGTTTTTTGATTTTTCGATTTGTTGGTGTTTTGATTGGTCGATTTTTAAATTTTTAAAACAAAACACAATTTTTTTATATTAAAAAAAACACTAGGCGCCTGCAAGACTTTCTTTTTTATACGCAAAAAATTGGTTTAAAGGTATTTAGACAGATCTTCCCTCGCCTCTGAGTAAAAATATATTATTAGTATATGCTTAACTTCAATTGTTTATGTTTATACATCGAAAGCCACAATTAACCACGCAGCAAATCGTCTCCTCAGTAAACTGAAAACATGTTTAAAACGGGAAATTTTTGTAGGGAACGAATGAAAAATTAATGACAATTGAGATCGGGGTGGGTGGGTGGGGCTTCATCTTTGGCTTTTTTTAAATATACTAATATACATACATATATAGTTTTCTTTCAACTATATCGAATATAAAATATCAGAAATATGTCCAACATTTTGTATTTTTAAAGTTTAAAATTATGCAACAATTTTTACTGTCACACGAGATCATCATAATCGTGTTCATCATAAACGAAACGAATTTTTTTGGAAAAAATTTGAAAAATTGGAAAATCGAAGAATTGAAAAATCAAAAATTGAAAATTTGAAAAATTAAATAAACGAAAAATTGTAAAATCCAAAGGAACATTGAAAAAATAAAGAAAATGAACAAACGAAAAATTGTGCTATAAAATCGTCCACATTAACTTAAAAAAAAAAAACTGAAGAATAATTTCCATTTGTGAACAGTTTTTGAGGTTATGTTGTTCACACACTATTAATAGTCCATACAATTCGTGACCTGCTAACTGTTACAGTTTCCTCACGAGATCACGAGGTAAGAAACGACCCAGTATATAACAATAATAATAAGAATAATAAAATCCTTATGACATTAGGTTGACAACAATGTCTCTTCTGGAATACTCAGAAAAGGCTGTATATGTCAAGTCCTCCACCAACATTGTCCATAACTGTGGCACTTGTCCGTACTTTACAACGTCACTATTTCTGCTAATCAACCACGTTCGACGTCATACCTCACTGCTACGTTTTGACTGTGAAAACAGCACCATCGAGACTTATCTTTGCCAAGATTGTAACTACCAAACACAACTGACAATTCTTTTTAAACAACACATTGTCCAATTTCATAGCATTAAAAGAAAAAACAACACTTTGCTTATGGATGAATATGTTGTGCAAAATTATGCTTGTGAAAAGTGCAACTATGAGACACATTTTCCACTTAAGTGGCTTCAACATAGTGCAACATGTGTGGAAAATGACAAAAATCGTGTAACAACGAATTTCACTACACTACAAGTGTTAAAAAACGTAAACGTACATAACACTGAATGGTATGAATGCAAAAAGTGCCCATACAAAGCTAAAAGAAGCTTTAATTTAAAAAGACACATAATCTCGTGGCATTCCAATGAACACGACATTAAATGGTATGAATGCAAAATGTGCCCATATAAAGCTAAGAGAAATGGTGACTTAAAAAGACACATAATTTCACGGCATTTGGGCGAAAATGACGTAAAGTGGTACAAATGCAGCTGCTGTTCATACAAAACTAAAAGAAGCGGTGCTTTGAAAATGCACACAAGGAGACAACATTTGGATGAACAACATATTAAATGGTATGAGTGCCAACAGTGTCCATACAAAGCTAAACAAAACTCGAATTTAAAAAGACACATAAACCTGCACCACGCAAGCGGAGACGATATTAAATGGTACAAATGCCACAAGTGCCAATATAAAGCTAAACAGAGCGACCGTTTAAACTACCACATAGTGGCGCAACATGTGGATGAACAAGACATTAAATGGCACAAATGTGAGCAGTGTCCATATAAGAGTCAAAGAAAGAATGAGTTACGGAATCACGTAAATGCGTGTCATTCACATAAACATGATATAAAATGCTATGAATGCAACAAATGTCCACATAAAACTAAAACTAGTGGTGAGTTAAAAAGTCACGTGACTGCGCGCCATGTGGGTGAAGGCGAAATTAAATGGTATGTATGCCACAAGTGTCCATATAAAACTAAAATGGGGGGGAATTTAAGAAGGCACATAAATGTACTGCACTTGGGTAAACACAATAATAAACGTTTTGAGTGTGAAAAGTGTGCATATGTAACTACACTGCGTTCTAATTTAAGAAGGCATGTAAATAGGTGGCATGTGGAGGAACAAAGTATTAAATGGCATGAGTGCAAAGAGTGTTCATACAAGGCTAAGGAAAAGTGGGTTTTGGATAGACATGTAAATGCCCGTCATTTGGATGCTGAGGATGCTAAGTGGTATCAGTGTAAGATGTGTTTATACAAAGGTAAAGAAAAGGGGGCGTTGAATAAACACATGAAAAGGCACCATGTGGAGAGATAGGATCAGTGTAGAAGTGGTCATTTAATTTTTAAATAAAATCACACAATTACAAAGAAGTATTATTGGTTGCCTACAACAAAATCATGTGTTATATTTGAAATAATATTCTAAAACGAAGGATTAGTTTTATTTTGCTTATTTTGAATAAAAATATGTTTTTTTGCTGTTGCTGATTTTAGTGTTACCAATTACCAATGTCAAGGAACCAAAATGTCCACATTATTCGTTGTTTTGTTGGTTGCATACCTTTTTTACGAAAGAATTTTCAAATTTTATGACAATAGTTTTCTCAAAAATCTTCAACTAGAGAAAAATGAAAGCAGTTTTTTACGTAAAAAATCATCACAGTTGAGATAGGGCGGCCGACCCGATCTGTCCTTTTTATCCTTTTTATAGTGTCTCTTTATACATAAAGGATACAAAGAATAACAAGGATAAAATGGTTTAAAAGAATAACAGTCAGTCAATTAGTCAGTCTGTTCACTCAGTCAGTCAATCTCTTTAGACAGTCAGTCAGTCAATCAGTCAGTCAGTTTGTTCAGTCAGGTCAGGATAAAAAGGAAAAAAAGGGGAAAATGGACGAAAAGGAGGAAAAGGGTGAAAAGAATAAACATGATAAAAAGGACGAGAAGGAGGAAAAGGATGAAAAGGACGAAAAGGATAAAATTGATAAAAAGAATAAAAAGGATAGAAAAGTTTGTCGGTCAGTCGGTCATTCAGAGAGTCAGTCAGTCTGTTCAGTCAGTCTGTTCAGTCAGTCAGTCAGTCAGGGATTAAAAGGAAAAAAAGGACGAAAAGGACCAAAAGGACGAAAACGACGAAAGGGACAACGAGGACAAAAAGGACGAAAAGGAGAAAAAGAACCAAAAGGACGAAAACGAGGAAAAGGGCGATAAGGACGAAAAGCACCAAAAGGATAAAAAGAATAAAAAGGATTAAAAGGATAAAAAAAATAAAAAGGACGAAAAGGACAAAAAGGACGAAAAGAACCAAAAGGACGAAAAGGACAAAAAGGACGAAAAGAACCAAAAGGATCAAAAGGACCAAAAAGACCAAAAGTACCAAAAGCACGAAAAGGACGAAAAGGATGAAAAGGATAAAAAGACTAAAAAGGATTAAAAGGATAAAAAGGACGAAAAGGACAAAAAGGACAACAAGGATAAAAAGGACGAAAAGGAGGAAAAGGATAAAAAGACTAAAAAGGATTAAAAGGATAAAAAGGATAAAAAGGATAAAAAGGATAAAAAGGACGAAAAGGACAAAAAGGACAACAAGGATAAAAAGGACGAAAAGGAGGAAAAGAACCGAAAGGACGAAAAGAACCAAAAAGACCAAAAGTACCAAAATCACGAAAAGGATAAAAACTATAAAAAGTTTAAAAAGGACAAAAGGGACGAAAAGGACGAAAAGAATGAAAAGGATGCAAAGGATAAAAAGGAAAAAAAGAATAATAAAGTATTAAAAGGATTAAAAGGATAAAAAGGACGAAAAGGACAAAAAGGAGGAAAAGGAGGAAGAGAACCATAAGGACGAAAAGGACCAAAAACACCAAAAGTACCAAAATGACGAAAACGAGGAAAATGACGATAAAGACGAAAAAGACGAAAATGAGGAAAAGAATAAAAAGAATATAAGGGATTAAAAGGATAAAAAGGACGAAAAGGACAAAAACGACGAAAAGAACCAAAAGGGCGAAAAGGACCAAAAAGACCAAAAGTACCAAAAGGATAAGAAGGATTACAAGGATAAAAAGGATAAAAAGTTTAAAAAGGACAAAAGGAACACAAAAGGACGAAAAGCATGAAAAGGATGAAAAGGATAAAAAGAATAAAAAGGATTAAAAGGGTTAAAAGGATAAAAAGGACAAACAAGACAAACAGGAAGAGAAGAACCAAAAAGACCAAAAGGATGAAAATGATGAAAAGGATAAAAAGAATAAAAAGGATTAAAAGGATAAAAAGGACGAAAAGGACCACAAGGACAAAAAGGACGAAAAGGAGGAAAAGAACCAAAAGGACGAAAAGGATTAAAAGGATAAAAAGTTTAAAAAGGACAAAAGGGACGAAAAGGACGAAAAGAATGAAAAGGATGAAAATAATAAAAAGGATAAATAGGATTAAACGGATTAAAAGGATAAAAAGGACAAAAAAGACAAAAAGGAGGAAAAGGACGAAAAGGACAAAAAGGAGGAAAAGGACCAAAAAGACCAAAAGTACCAAAAGGACGAAAAGGCGGAAAAGGATAAAAAGAATAAAAAGGATTAAAAGGACGAAAAGGACGGAAAGGACAAAAAGGACGGAAAGAACCAAAAGGACGAAAAAGACCAAAAGTACCAAAAGGATGAAAATGATTAAAAGGTTAAAAAGGACAAAAAGAACGAAAAGGATGAAAAGGATAAAAAGAATAAAAAGCATTAAAAGGATTAAAAGGATAAGAAAACAAAAAGGAAGAAAAGAACCAAAGGGGCGAAAAGGACCAAAAAGACCAAAAGTACCAAAAGGATAAGAAGGATTACAAGGATAAAAAGGATAAAAAGTTTAAAAAGGACAAAAAGAACGCAAAAGGACGAAAAGCATGAAAAGGATGAAAAGGATAAAAAGAATAAAAAGGATTAAAAGGGTTAAAAGGATAAAAAGGACAAACAAGACCAACAGGACGAGAAGAACCAAAAAGACCAAAAGGACGAAAAGGATGAAAAAGATAAAAAGAATAAAAAGGATTGAAAGGATAAGAAGGACGAAAAGGACAACAAGGACAAAAAGGACAAACAGGAGGAAAAGAACCAAAAGGACGAAAAGGATTAAAAGGGTAAAAAGTTTAAAAAGGACAAAAGGGACGAAAAGTACGAAGAGGATGAAAAGGGTGAAAAGGATAAAAAGGACGAAAAAGCCAACAAGGCCAAAAAAGACGAAAAAGAGGAAAAGAACCAAAAGTACGAAAAGGAGGAAAAGAACCAAAAGGACGAAAAGGATTAAAAGGATAAAAAGTTTAAAAAGGACAAAAGGGACGAAAAGGACGAAAAGCATGAAAAGGATAAAGAGGATGAAAAGGGTGAAAAGGATAAAAAGGACGAAAATGACAACAAGGACAAAAAGGACGAAAAGCAGGAAAAGAACCAAAAGGACGAAAAGGATTAAAAGAATAAAACGGACAAAAAAGACAAAAAGGACGAAAAGGACAAAAAGCAGGAAAAGGACCAAAAAGACCAAAAGTACGAAAAGGCGGAAAAGGATAAAAAGGATTAATAGGACGAAAAGGACAAAAAGGACGGAAAGAACCAAAAGGACGAAAAGGACCAAAAAGACCAAAAGTACCAAAAGGATGAAAAGGATTAAAAAGTTAAAAAGGATAAAAAGTTTAAAAAGGACAAAAAGAACGAAAAGGACGAAAAGGATGAAAAGGATAAAAAGAAAAAAAAGCATTAAAAGGATTAAAAGGATAAAAAAACAAAAAGGAAGAAAAGAACCAAAGGGACGAAAACGACCATAAAGACCAAAAGGACGAAAAGGATGAAAAGGATGAAAAGGATAAAAAGAATAAAAAGGATTAAAAGGATAAAAAGGACGAAGAGGACAACAAGGACAAAAAGGACGAAAAGGATTAAAAGGATAAAGAGTTTAAAAAGGACAAAAGGGACGAAAAGGACGAAAAGAATGAAAAGGATGAAGAGGACGAAAAGGGTGAAAAGGATAAAAAGGATAAAAAGAATAGAAAGAATTAAAAGGATTAAAGGGATTAAAAGGATAAAAAGTACAAAAAAAGACAAAAAGGAGGAAAAGGAGGAAAAGAACCAAAAAGACGAAAAGAACCAAAAAGACCAAAAGTACCAAAAGGAGGAAAACGAGGAAAAGGACGATAAAGACGAAAAGGTCGAAAAGGATGAAAATGATGAAAAGGATAAAACGAATAAAAAGGATTAAAAGGATAAAAAGTATGAAAAGGGCAAAAAGGACAAGGACAAAAAGGACGAAAAGGACCAAAAAGAGCAAAAGTACAAAAAGGACGAAAAGGATGAAAAGGATTAAAAGGATAAAAAGAATAAAAAGGATTAAAAGGATGAAAAGGATAAAAAGGATAAAGACAACGAGAAGGACGAAAAGGGCGAAAAGAACCAAAAAGAGCAAAAGGACCAAAAAGACCAAAACGACGAAAAGTACGAAAAAAAATCATCACAATTGAAATGGGGTGGGTGGGCGGGGTGTATATTTTGCTTTTTTTCTTAATGTACATAGTATTCTTTGAACAACACGATACTCAAAAACATCTTTTTAATTTCTTGTAAAGAAACAAGTATTTTGAAGATAAGCTCCGCCCCTTGATTCACGGTGGATAAAAAAAATCATCACAATTGAGATAGGGCGGGTGGGCGGGCTTACATTTTGCCTTTTCGTTTTATTACGTTTAGTCTTCTTTTCACAACATGTAACTTAAAACATGTTTAAAATGCAAAATTTGTGTAAGAAAATATCGATTTTGCAATTAGGCTCCGACCCATAATTGCAAAATCCATATTTCCTTGCAAAAACGTACCATTTTAATTATGTTTTACGTTTCGTCTTGTGAAAAGATCGCTATATACATTAAAAAAAAAAGTGTCGTGAGCTTAATTGCAAAATCCTCATTTCTCTACAAGAAATAAAAAACATGTTTTTGAATATCGTGTTGTTCAAAGAATACTTTGTATATTAAGAAAAAAACAAAGCCAAAGATTAGGCCCCACCCATATCCATCGCAAGCGCAATTGTGATGAATTTTTCATTCGTTGTCAGACCGAGGGGCGGAGCCTAATTGCAAAGTCGATGCTTTCCTACAAAAATTTACCATTTTAAACATGTTTTACCTTTAACAGATGATATAAACGACGCATACCTCTGCTGCGTATTTATATTACAACGGCAATGACAACGACAAGTTTACAATTCGACCTTAAGAGGGCGGGAGATCAACTTTCTGTAAAACTGGCTATAGATGAACTGACCTTGACGTCTAGGAATATTTATGTTTATTATTATTATTAACAACATTAATGAAAACCACTTTTTTAGAGTGAGAAAATTGAAATCTCTTTATACTTACAAAAATAACACAATTTATATAACCCAAAGCATGGCTTGAATAATTTATACGCTGGCTATGAAATTGTGAGGTTATGTTGACATACAATTTACACTTTTGTAAACTGGCACTTTTTTTGATGAAACCATTAGGTGAGAAAAATATTGATAACTTTAATTCCATAAACCAGTGATAATTAATTCAGGGAAACGAAAATGTCGAATTTGAAATCCTCCAAGAAATTTTCTTACATGACATCTTTCCCCAAGCAAGTCCACGAATGCAAAGTATGCCCTTCCTTTACAACGTCGGTATTTTCGATGGTCGACCATATGAGGCGCTACCACTCATCAATGGTACTTTTTAACTGTGAAAAAGCCACAATTGAGACTTACCACTGCAAAAACTGCAACTTCCACACAAAACTGACACTTTTTTTTAAGCAACATGTTAATGAATGTTTTGGAATTAAAACAGAGAAGGATTCAACGAACGAGGAATACGCCATTAAAAACTATATTTGTGGAAATTGCAACTTTGAAACTTATTTCATAATTAAGTGGCTTCAGCACACTGCTACATGTGTCAGAGATGAAGAAAAAAAACCTACATGGTTTAACTGTGATAATAGTGAGAACAAGAATGAAATACTTTGGTTTTACTGTGCAAAGTGTTCCTACAAAAGTATACACAAAAGGTCGTTACGTAGACACATTTCTAGACAGCATGGACCAGATATTAAACAATACGGATGCAAGGAATGTTCATACAAAACTAAAAACAGATCTTGTTTAACCTATCACATCAATCGGTTCCATGTAGATGAAAAAGATATTAAATGGTATAAGTGCAACAAGTGTCCATACAAATCAAAACAAAGAGGACACTTAAACAGACACATGATCAAGCATTATTCCGACGAACAAAATATCAAATGGCACGAATGTGACAAGTGCCCCTACAAATCCAAAAGAAGTGACGTTTTAAAAAAGCACATAAACACGCGACACTTGGACGTACAAACAATTAAATGGTACGAATGCAAAAAGTGCCCATACAAAGCCAAACAAAACGGTAATTTAAGCAGACACATAAAGGAGCACCATTTAAATGAACAAGAATTTAAATGGTACGAATGCAAACAATGTCCCTACAAAACAAAACAAAACGCGTCTTTGAATAAACACATGATTGCTCGCCACTTGGATGAACAAGATATTAAATGGTATGAATGCAGAAAGTGCCCTTACAAAGCTAAACAAGAAGGCACTTTGAAAAATCACATAATCGCGCAACATTTGGATGGGAAAGATATTGAATGGGACGAATACAAAAACGGGCCTTTGAAAGCTAAGAATTATACGAAAAAGCGCATTTCGGGGGAGACTAAATTGTTTGAGTGCAGCAAGTGCGAATATAAAGCTAGGCAGAAGGCGTCGTTGGATAAACACATAAATGCGCGTCATTTGGATGAGAAGGATATTAAGTGGTATGAATGCGCAAAGTGTACATATAAAGGTAAAGAAAGGTCGAGTTTGATAAATCACATAAATGCGCGCCACTTGGATGAAAAATTTGTTAAATGGTATAAGTGCAACAAGTGTGTTTTTAAGTCTAAATGGAAATTTGTGTTGAGGAGACATATAAGTGCACTTCATTTGGGGGAACAGGCTATTAAGTGGTCGGAGTATAAAAAATGACGTGAATGCGTTAAGTGGAAACGTAAAGGTTGGGTAAAGAGGATTCAAAACGTCTTCCATGAGTTGCCTACTTTGTTTGTCTTTACGTTGCATTTCTAAAATTTATTCCATTTATTTTGATTAGCCACAGGTTATACTGTATTTTTTTTGTGGGAAATAAATAATGTGATTTTAAATACATATTAATACTTGAATAAATTATTGTTTTGTTTAGAACTACTCCTAATTCAATATTTTTTATCCTAAGTATTTTTAACTTTTTTGCTTTAATTACAAGTATTCATTTTTACGTTTTAATGTCAGCCACGGAATGGTTAATTTCAGATTTTGAAGTTTCGTCGCCTCCAGAGTATGAGAAAGTAGGTCCCGCGTTTCCAACTATTTGTTCGTCTGCTGGTGTCATTGTTATGAAATTTTAGCTATATTTTAGAAAGAACGTGTTATTAAATGAAAAGCTAACTAAAATTTATCTGGTCATCATCATCGCAACCTCTAAATTAACTAATATGCTTCTACATACAGGGTTATTAGTTAGATCTTGGGTCTACATTTTTTGCCGCTTTTTTTACTACTTTTTTTAGTCGCATTTTTCTGTTGCCATTTTTTTGTTGTTGCATTTTTTGACATATTTTTATCTTTGTCATCTTTTTTGCCATTGGTAGCGTTTTTTACAGGTTTTATTGACGTTGTTCTTGTGTAGCCTATTTTTTTTCACATTATTGTTTGCCTTTTTTGTCATATTTTTGTCCTTTTTTGTAGTTTTCAGTGTCACCTTTTTTGCCACTTTCTTTGTCGTCTTTTTTATCACAAAAAATTACCGATTTTTTTGTTGACATTTTTTTTTAGCGCCTTTTATGCCGGTGATTTTTTAACTCATTTTTTTTTGGCACGTTTTTTCTCACATTACTTGTGGTCTTTTTTGTCGCGCTTTTTTATCGTGTTTTTACTCTTCTTCTTTTTGTCGTTTTGTGTCTCACTTTTTTGTCGTTTTTCTTGCCCTCCCCCCTTTTTTAACGTATTTTTTTGCTACTTTCTTCATCGGCTTTTTTTTGCCTTTTTTTGTTGCTCTTTTGACCCCATTTTTTTGTCGCATTTTTTGTGACCTTTTTGTCGTTTTGTGTGTTACCTTTTTTTGCCGCATATTTTTGGCTCTGTTCGCTTTTTCTGTCTTTTTTTTATTTTTTTAACTAGCATTTTTGACATTTTTTGCCATTTTTCTTTGTTGATTTTTTGACTTTAGTCATATTTTTCTTCGTGGTAGTTTGTGTCCTGCATTATATTGTGTCCTTTTTTACTCCCCTTTTCTCATCTTTATTTTTTTTATTGATGCTTTCTCTTATCTTCTTGTCGCCGTCTTTTTATGATTTTTTTATCAGCTTTTTTATCGCATTTTGTGACCTTTTGTGCAGCCTCTTTTTACACTTTTTGTCTTCTTTTTGGCCCTTTTGGGGGACCTTTTTTCCGTTACCGGCTGTTTTGTTGACTTTTTATCCGTTTTTTAGCAGTATTTTGCTCTTGCATTATTTTGTGGCCTTTTTGCTATATTTTATTTTCGTTTTCTTTGTTGTGTGTTGTGTTTTAGTCGCGTTTTTTGCCGCTTTTTGTTTCACATTATTTTGTGGTCTTTTTTCATAATGATCTGTCCTCTTTTTGTGGTTTTCTGTGACACTTTTTTGACGTCTTTTTTTGTTGATTTTTTTTGAGACGTATTTTTGATAGACTTTTTTCTCGCATTATTTAGTGGCTTTTTTGTCGTTTTCTATGGCACCTTTTTTTTGACGCATATTTTTGGATTTCTTCGTTTTGCCGTCTTTTTTTGACTTTTTTACCAGCATTTTTGGTAACCTTTTTTGTATCTTTTTTTGTCGCCTTTTTTGTCTTTTTTTGTCGTTTTTCTTTGTTGATTTTTTGACTCCTTGTTTTAGTCATATTTTTTGTGTCCTGTTTTTGTCTTCTGGCGTTTTCTGTGTCATTTTTTTATTCTCTTAGCTTCTCCTAGCGTCTTCTTGTTCCGTCTTTTTATAGCTTTTTTATCGCATTTTGTGGCCTTTTCTGCAGCTTCTTTTTACATTTTTTATCGTGTTTTGGCACTTTTTGGTCGCTTTTTTTATTACAAACTTTTTTGCTGGCTTTTTACTCCTATTTTTTAGCCATATTTTGCTCCCGCATTATTTTGTGTCCTTTTTTGCCATTTTTTATTTTCGTTTTCCTTGTCGTGCCGTTGTTTTAGTTGCGTTTTTTGCCGTTTTGTTTTCCAGATTATTTTGTGGCCTTTTCATTGTGCACTGTCCTTTTTTTTTCGTTTTCTGTGTCACCTTTTAGTCGTCGATTTTTTTTGGCTCCCTTTTTTTTGACGTTGTTTTTGTCGCTTTTTTAAACACTTTTTTTGTTTGCTTTTTTCTTATTTTTACGCTTTTTTTGCGTTTGTTGCCAATTTTTCTTGTCGGTTTCTTTTTCATCCCCTTTTAACCGTCTTTTGTTAATAGTTCTTTTCGACTCATTTTTTGCCGTATTTTTTTGTTGTTTTTTTTTACTCTCTTTGGCCGTATTTTGTGACTTTTTGGCGATTTTCATTGTACTCTTTTTTTGGACACTTTTGTTATATATATTTCATTTTTCTCGCATTGTTATGACCCTTTTTAATAGTAATTTGTATCTCTTTTTTACCTTCTCTTTTGCCGCCTTTCTTAATTCGCGTTTTGTGTCCTCTTTTTTTCGTTAGTCGTTTTTTATTCCTTTTTTCCTCCTTTTTTTTTCGCGACGTGTTTTTGTGGTCTTCTTTTTTCGCCTTTTTTTGGTCATATTTTGGTCGCCTTTTTTTCTCGTGTTATTTTGTTATTTTTTTACGACTTTTTTTGTGTTTTTGTCCCTTTTTGTCGTTTTCTGTATCACCTTTTTTTTGACGTCTGTTTTTCTTTTTGACACTTTCTTTATCGTCTTTATATTGTAAAAAATAAATGTCTTTTTTTAGTCGATTTTTTGTCATTTTTTCGATTCTCCCTTTTTTTCAGCGGCATTTTATGTGGCTTATTCTATAACATTTTTTTGTGGATTTTTTTTGTATTTTTTTCACTCTTTTGTTTGTTGTTTTATTTCTCATGTGACTTTTTTTCTTTTTTTTTTGGCTCCCTTTTTATTGAATTTTCTGACGCCTTTTTTACAGTTATTTTTTTATTTTTTTTACTCCTTTTTTGTCGTATTTTTTATCGCCTTTTTTATCGTGTTTTTGTCCTTTGTCTTTTTGTCGTTTTCTGTATTTTTTTTGGCTCCCTACTTTCTTTCTCGCTTTTTTATAGCATTTTTGTCTTCTTTTTTTGTAGCTTTGTTTTCGTTGCTTTTTTGACCATATTTTTTGTACCATTTTTTGTAGTTACTTGTCCTCTTTTTTATGTCTTTTTGACTCTCTTTTTTTTACTCAAATTTTTTCCCACGTTGCTTTGTGGCCTTGTTTGTCGTCTTTTATGTTCGCTTTCTTTGTCGCTTCTTTTTTTTTTGCCGTGTTTTTTCTCGTTTTTTTTCGCATTATTTTGTGTTTTATTTACTACCTTTTTTTTATATCGTGTTTTTGTTACTTTTTTGCCGTTTTCTATGTCATTTTTTTATTGTCGCTTTTTCTCAGCTCCCTTTTTTTTCCGTCTTTTTTTTATCCCTTTATTTGTTGTATTTTTTTAAGCTTTTTGCTTTGTCGTCTTTTTTGTGTCTTTCTTGTCATTTTCTTTTTTCTTAGTCTGTAATGCCTTTTTTTTAATCGTTTCTTTTTTTTCCCATATAATTTGGCATCTCTTTTTTTCTCCCTTTTTTTTCCATTTTTTTGATGGAGTTTTTTTGCCGTAATTTTTGTGGCGTTGTTGTCGCCTTGACACTTTTTTGTCAGTTTTTGTGTTGATTTATTTATTGTCTTTTTTGTCACTTTTTTGGTAGCTTTTTTTTCTATTTTTTTATGTCTCTCATTTGACTGTTTTTAGTTGCAATTTTGTTTCCTTTTTTGGTCGCCTTTTTGTTGATTTTTTACCACTTTCTTTGCCTTATTTTTTACGCCTTTTTTCATTGCTTTTTACCAAATTTTTCATGGAGCTTTATTTTTAGTTCCTTTTTGTCTCGCATTATTGTGACCTTTTTATATCGTCTTTCGTTTTTTTGAAGCCTTTTGGCTGGTGTTTTTTTACTTATTTTGTTAAATAGTATTTTTTATCACCCTTTTTCTCGCATTATTTGTGATCTTTTTTGTCGCTCTTTTTTGGTTCCCTTCTTTTGTCGATTTCTGTCACTTTTTGTCTCTTTTTTTTTGGTTCCCTTCTTTTTTTATTACTTTCTTTGTCGCTTTTTTATAACATCTTTTGTCTTCTTTTTTTGTAGCTTTTTTTTTGCTTTTTTGTTCTCTTTTTTATTGTCTTTTTTGATGATTTTTTGACTCCCTTTTTTTTAAATCATATTTTTTCCCATTGTGGTCTTATTTGTTGTCTGTTATTTTCCTTTTCTTTGTCGCCTTATTTTTTTTCTGACGTTTTTTCTTCACAATATTTTGTGGCCTTCTTTGCTACCCTTTTTCATATTGTGTTTTTGTTCCTTTTTGTCGTTTTCGGTGTCATTTTTATTTTTACTGGCACCTTTTCGTAGCTCTCTTCTTTTTTATCCCTTTTTGACACCTTTTTTGTTGTATTTTTTTGAAACCTTTTTTTCAGTGTTTGCCTTCTTTTTTTTCCTCATATCATTTTGTATCCCATTTTTTTTACGTCTTTTTTTAATTGAGTTTTTTTTGCGGAATTTTTTGCAGCGTTTTTTTGTCGCCTTTTTTTTGACACTTTTTTGTGGATTTGTTCATTTCCTTTTTTTGTCACTTATTTTGTAGCTTTTTTTCTATTCTTTTTTATGTCGCTTCTTTGACTGTTTTTAGCTGCGTTTTTGTTTCCTTTTTTTTGACACTCTTTGTCGTCCACCTTTTTTTGGTCGCCTTTTTTCTGTGCAAGCGGTTTTTGCCTATTTTTTTACTGACTTTTTTGCCCGTAATTTTCTCTCGCATTCTTTCTTGGTCTCTTTTGATCGTGTTTTATCAATTTTTTTGTTGTCACTGTTTTGGCTCTCTTTTTTTTAGCGTCATTTTTGTCGCTTTTTTCCACTTTTTTGTATTATTTTTTTTACACATTTTTTTCATGTAGCTTTGTTTTTAGTGGTACCTTTTTGCCACGCATTATTTTGTGACCTTTTTGTCGTCTTTTTTTTCAACTTTTTGGCTGCTGTTTTTTTGCCAGCATCGCCTTTTTTCTAGCGTTATTTTGTGGCTTTTTTGCTCTTTTTTAACTTTTTTTTTGCTCGTGTTTTTTGACAACTTTTTTCCATTCACATTATTTTGTGGCCTTTTTCCTTGCATTATTTTCGCGTTTTTTAATCTGCTTTTTTAACGGCTTTTATTCACCTTTTTGTCGCTTTTTTGACTCCCTTTTTTTCCCTTTTATTAAAAAAAAATTATAATTTATCTAAGAAACTGAACTTGTTTGTACGTCAGGGGCGAGGGAAATAACTTTTGATCAATTTTAAAATAAATAAAATAGATCTTTACATTTTATTCCCGAGCATGGCCAATTTCATATTTTTTTACGTTTCGTAGCTTCTAGAATATGAAAAAGTAGGTTTCCCGTTTCCGTTTATGGTCGACCCTATGTTGTATTTCAGTTCAGTGGAACGCTAACTAAAATTTTGTTTGTTCATTCCCATTAATAACACGATTATTATTATTATTATTATTATTATTTAAATGTCCAACTGGTAAAAGCCCATTTACAGGACAAAGATAGAGTAACATTTAGTAAGAAGAAAAAAAAAACCTAAAGTTGTACAGTTAAATATGTCAATATCGGACTCAGTATCAGTATAATTATACAACATAATGACATCATCTCAAAATTTTGCTAAGTAAACTCTATTTAAATTTTATAAAACAATATATTTGTGGTTTATATTTATTGATATTTACCCTACAAATCATTTATTCCTAACAAAAACAATCACAATTAACCCGAATGGCGCCTTTTAATGTGTCTTTTCAAGTTCGCTTTTAGTTTAGTTTTGAACGCACAGTTTTCACATTCATGCCATTGAACATCCTGTTCATTCAAATGACGCGCATTTACGTGTCGTTTCAAATGAAAGTTTCTTTTACATTTATACGAACACTCTCCACACTCAAACCACTGATAATTTTCCAAACTATGCACACTTATGTGTTTTTTTAACTCCTTGTTTGTTTTAAATTCGAATGGACACTTTCTGCATTTATACCATTTAACATTGTGTCTACTTAAATGGCGTGCATTTATGTGTTTGTTTAAACCTTGCTTAAGTTTAGATTTGTATGGACACTTTTGGCACTCGTGCCATTTTATATCCCGTTCATCTAAATGTCGCGCAATCGTGTGACGTTTTAAATGGGAACTCTGCTTAGCTTTGTATGGACACTTCTCACATTCATACCATTTAATCTCTTGTTTACGTAAATGATGCACTTTTATGTGCATGTGTAAGGAGGAGTTTTGTTTAGTTTCGTATGGGCAGTGGTTGCATTGGTACCATTTGACGTTCAGATGGAGTGCGCGTACGTGGCTGCTTAAAGATGACTGGTGTTTTGTTTTGAACGGGCACTTGTCACATTCGTACCATTTAACATCCTGTTCGTCCACATGTTGCGTACTTATGTGTTTGCTTAAATTGCGTTTGTGTTTACTTTTGAATGAACATGTAGCACAGTGGTGCCAAAGAATTTCATTATCGCTCAAGTGTCTTGAAATTTTGTGCAGCTTTAGAGAATATTTGTGCTTGAATTTGCGCCCACATTGGTCACAACAGGGCCGCGTGAAAGTGCTGTTTTCCACATTTTCACTGGAGCTTATTATTTGGGGATTTTCGTTGTCTTCAATACAAGCTAGAGCATGTTGAAGCCATTTGAGGACGAAGTGGGTTTCAAAGTTGCACTTTTTACAAATATAGCTTTGGATGGCACATTTCTCGTTCACAACAATATCTTGGTTTTCTTTTTTAACGTGTTGTTTGAAGAACAGCTGTAGTTCAGTTTGGAAGTTGCAGCCCTTGCAATAGTACGCTTCAATGTTTGCATTTTCACAGTTGAAAAAAGATTCACGGTTATCTCTGATGGACATTTTTGGAAGCAGACTCCTTAGAAGCATGGGTCTAAACTCATTTGTTTACAATTCATTGTACGATGAAAGCAATCATTCTCACCTGAAATTCTACAACTGCAGGCAGTAAATTTTTGTAGTCACATTTGCTCCATACGTGACATAACCTCAAAGCTCTGAAGCACGATGTCGATTTTACAGTCATACAAAATTGGAGATTTGAAGTTTGGCTCAATATTTGCTTTTTTCGCTTAAAATTTAGTATTTTTTACACAAATCAGCTACATTCGATGTTTATATCCGGATTTGGTAGCTTCAGTAACTTTTGAAACTTTAGTGACTTTTTCTTTATAAACATAATTTTAGTGATTTTAGTGTCGACGACGGAGATAGGCAACCAGTAATACCGTTGTTCAGCAAAGAGTTGCATATGACTCAGTGTAAATATTATTATATTTTTTTTATTATTATAATGGACACCTAAAAGAATAGTATTTAAAAAAAACTGTAGAAAAAGGTACTGTTTTGGAATGTCCAAGGGTTGCGAAAAAAGGAAAAGGAGTTCTGGGACTACTTGGGAAAATTTGATGTGGTGGACTAGTGAGACATGGGTATAAAGAGAAAACTGGGAGAAATTGGAAGACACTACCACAAGAATATGTGTGGGAGTGTCAAGGGGCGACAAAGGAAAAGAAAAAGGGGTAATGGGAATTCGAAAAGAAATGCAAGAATTCGAAAAGGGAAGTAATAATAAAAACGGACTAATGAAGAAAGTAATACAGTTGGATAACAATCGATAGGAAATAATAATCGTTTATAGCAAGAAAATGGAGGAAACCCAGATAAGCATAGAAAAAGAAACAAAAGAAAAAGGAGATGAAAAATACTTATAGGTGGGGATTTTAACGCAAGATTGGCCGATAAGGTGACAAGAATAATAGATAAAGAAAAGGGAGAGAAAAGGGGATCAAAAGACAAAGCAAATAACAAAGAAGGGAAAATATTGTGAGAGATAATAGAAGAAATGGGATGGGAAATTTTGAATGGAAACAAGGAAGGAGATGAAGAAGGAGAATGGACGTATATACATAGGAGCTAGGGGAGAATCAATTATAGAATCAGAGCACATGCCACTAGAAATAAAAATCAAAGGAAAAGAGTAAGAGTACGAGAAACAAGAGAGAAGAAACGAAAGAAAAGAAATAGAAAAAAGAATATGGGATGAAGAGAGAATTAAAAGATACAGAAGTAGACTAGTAAAAAAGAAATTAGAAGTGAAAGAAGATATAGAAGCTATGATAGCAGAACTGAGCAACCTAATTGTAGAAGCTACGGAGAAAAGAAAGATATACATATGGCAAGGGAGGGATAATGGATGGAACGGAGAATGTAGTGAGTTGAAGAGAAAAGCAAGGGAAAAATTAAGAAAATGAAAGAATAACAGGAGAAGGAAAGAAGAGTACCTAAAAGCAAAAGAGAATTATGGGAGAAAATGTGAAGAAAGAAAAAGAGAAAAACGAGAAGAAGAAAAGAAGACAATAAAGCCCCTGAAAACCGAAGAAGAAGTATGGAAATATATAAACAAGGAACGGAGAAGGAAGACTGGAGTCAAAAGAAGAGTTATTGGGAGGTTGTGAGGAAAAATCCTGCAAAATAAATAAAGGAATCACAACGACGGAAGAAATGTGTGGAGGTTCGAAAATAACAGAAGATGAAATACTTAGGAAGACAAATTGAAAGACTGAAAAGAGGAAAGGCACTTTTTCGTCCTTTTTGTTCCTTTTCGTCCTTTTTCGTCCTTTTCGTCCTGTTTCGTCCTTTTCGTCCTTTTGGTCCTTCTCGTTCTTTTCGTCCTTTTTCGTTCTTTTCGTCCTTTTCGTCCTTTTCATTCTTTTCGTCCATTTCTGTCCTTTTCATCCTTTTCGTCCTTTTCATCCTTTTCGTCCATTTCCGTCCTTTTCATCCTTTTCGTCCTTCTTCGTAGTTTTCGTCCCTTTTCGTCCTTTTCGTCCTTTTTCGTCTTTTTCGTCCTTTTTGGTCGTTTTCGTCCTTTTCCGTCTTTTTCATCCAGGGGATGGAATCCCGAACGAAGCGTGGAAGATCAGGACAGAAGGAGTGAAAGAAAAATACATGAATGTAAAAGACACCTTATGGAATTATTGGGAGGTTATGAGGCAAAATGCTGCAAAATAAATTAAGGAATCACAACGACGGGAGAAATGTGGAGAGGTTCGGAAATAACAGAAGATGAAATGGGAAGACGGGTTGAAAGACTGAAGAGAGGAAAGGCACTTTTTCGTCCACTTTGTTCCTTTTCGTCCTGTTCGTCCTTTTAGTCTTTTTTCGTCCTTTTCGTCCTTATTCTTCCTTTTTGATCTCTTTCGTCCTTTTCGTCCTTATCATCCATTTCCGTCCTTTTCATTCTATTTCGTCCTTCTTCATCCTTTTTCGTCCTTTTCGTCCTTTTTGGTCCTTTTCGTTGTGTTCGTCCTTTCCGTCTTTTTTCGTCCTTTTCGTCCTCTTCGTCCATTTCCGCCCTTTTCGTCCTTTTTTGTCCTTTTCGTCCTTATTGGTCCTTTTCGTGTTTTTCGTCCTTTTTGTCCTGTTTCATCTTTTTGTCCTTTTTCGTCCTTCTTGGTCGTTTTAGTCCTTTTCGTTCTTTTTCGCCCTTTTCATCCTTTTCGTCCTTTTAGTCCTTTTTGGTCCTTTTCGTCCATTTCCGTCCATTTTCCACCTTTCCGTCCTTTTTGGTCCTTTTTGGTCCTTTTCGTCCTTATCGACCATTTCCGCTCTTTTCGTCCTTTTTCGTCCTTTTCGTCCATTTCCGTCCTTTTCGTCCTTTCCGTCCTTTTTCGTCCTTTTTCGTGGTTTTCGTACTATTTGTTTCTTTTCGTCCGTTTCGTTCTTTTTCGTCCTTATCGTCCTTTTTCGTCCATTTTCGTCCTAATTCGTCCTTTTCGTCCTTTGCGTCCTTTTTGGTCCGTTTCGTCCTGTTTCGTCCTTTTCGTCGTGATTCGTCCTTTTTGGTCCTTTTCGTGCTTTCTCGTCCTTTTCGTCCTTTTTGGTTCTTTTTCGTCCTTATCGTCCTTTTTCGTCCATTTTCGTCCTAATTCGTCCTTTTCGTCCTTTGCGTCCTTTTTCGTCCGTTTCGTCCTGTTTCGTCCTTTTCGTCGTGATTCGTCTTTTTTGGTCCTTTTCGTGCTTTCTCGTCCTTTTCGTCCTTTTTGGTTCTTTTTCGTCTTTTTCGTCCTTATCGTTCATTTCCGTCCTTTTCCTCCTTTTTCGGTCTTTTTCGTCCTTTTTCGTGGTTTTCGTACTATTTGTTTCTTTCCGTCCTTTTTCGTCCTTTTTCGTGGTTTTCGTACTATTTGTTTCTTTTCGTCCGTTTCGTTCTTTTTCGTCCTTTGCGTCCTTTTTCGTCCGTTTCGTCCGGTTTCGTCCTTTTCGTCGTGATTCGTCCTTTTTGGTCCTTTTCGTGCTTTCTCGTCCTTTTCGTCCTGTTTGGTCCTTTTTCGTCTTTTTCGTCCTTATAGTTCATTTCCGTCCTTTTCCTCCTTTTTCGGTCTTTTTCATCCTTTTTCGTTCTTTTCGTCCTTATCGTTCATTTCCGTCCTCTTCCTCATTTTTCGGTCTTTTTCGTCCTTTTTCGTCCTTTTCGTCCTCTTGGGTCCTTCTTGGTCCTTTTCGTCCTGTTCGTCTTTTTCGTAATTTTTTGTCCTTTTTCGTCCTTTTCATCCTTTTTGGTCCTTTTCGTGCTTTTCGCCCTTTCCGTCCTGTTTCATCGTTTTTGTTTTTTTTTCGTCCTTCTTGGTCGATTTAGTCCTTTTCGTTCTTTTTCGTCCTTTTTATCCTTTGCGTCCTTTTTTCGTCCATTTCCGTCCTTATTCGTCCTTTTTCGTATTTTCGTCCTTTTTGGTCTTTTTCGTGCACTTCCGTCCTGTTCGTCCTTTTTCGTTCTTTTTCGTCTTTTTCGTCCTTTGTCGTCCTTTTTCGTCTTTTTCGTCCTTTGTCGTCCTTTTTCAATAATAATAATAATAAGTTTATTGTCCCACAGGTTTCCCTAATTACAGGACAAAATATAAAAAAAATACATAATAATAAAAGGACCAAAAGGACCAAAAGGACCTTTTTCGTCTTTTTCGTTATCTTCGTCCTTTTTGTCCTGTTCGTCCTTGTCGTCCTTATTGTCCTTTCCGTCCTGTTTCGTCTTTTTCGTCCTTTTCTCGTGCTTTTCGTCCTTTTTGATCGTTGTCGTTCTTTTCGTCCTCTCCGTCCTTTTTCGTTCTTTTCATCATTGTCTTCTTTTTTCGTCCGTGTCGTCCTATTTCGTCCTTTTCGTCCTATTTCACCTTTTCGCCCTGTTTCGCCTTTTCGTCCTTTTTCACCCTTTCCGTCCTTTTCGTCCATTTCGTCCTTTCTCGTCCTTTTCGTCCATTTCGTCCTTTTCGTCCTTTTTCGTCCTTTTTCGTCCTTATTGGTCGTTTTCGTCCTTTTCGTCCTTATTCGTCCTTTTTCGTCCTTTTCGTCCTCTTGGGTTCTTTTTGGTCCTTTTCGTCCTGTTAGTCCTTTCCGTCCTTTTTCGTCCTTTTCGTCCATTTCCGTCCTTTTCGTCCTTTTTCGTCCTTTTCGTCTTTTTTGGTCCTTTTCGTGATTTTCGCCCTTTCCGTCCTGTTTCATCTTTTTTGTCCTTTTTCGTCCTTTTTGGTCGTTTTAGTCCTTTTCGTCCTTTTTCGTCCTTTTAGTCCTTTTTGGTCGTTTTCGTCCTGTTCCGCCTTTTCATCCTTTTTCACCATTTCCGTGCTTTTCGTCTATTTCGTCTATTTCGTCCTTTCTCGTCCTTTCTCGTCCTTTTCGTCCATTTCGTCCTTTTCGTCCTTTTTCGGCTTTGTCGTCCTTATTGGTCGTTTTCGTCCTTTTCGCCCTTTTCGTCCCTTTTGGTCCTTATTCGTACTTTTTGGTCTTTTTCGTCCTTTTTCGTCGTTTTCATCCTCTTTGTCCGTTTTCGTCCTTTTCGTCCTTTTCGTCCTTTTTCGTCCCTTTTCGTCCTTTTTCGTCCCTTTTCGTCCTTTCCGTCCTTTTCTTACTCTTCGTCCTTTTTCGTATTTTTCGTGCTTTTCGTCGTGTTTCGTTCTTTTCGTCCATTTTGGTCCTTTTTCGTCTTTTTTCGTCTTTTTCGTCCTTCTCGTCCTTTTCCTCCTTTTCGTCCTTTTTCGTCCTTCTTGGTCCTTTTCATCCTTTCTCGTCCTTATTCGTTCTTTTCGTCCTTTTCGCCCTTTTTCGTCCTTTTCGTCCTTTTTCGTCCTTTTTCGTCCTTTCCG